AATGACAAGGACCAATAGTCATAAACTCCTCTGTGACCACTTTAGGCTGGTCATAAGGAAAAAACTTTATTACTGTCTGAGCTCCCAAGGTCTGGAATAGACTCCCTCCAGAAGTGGTGCAAGCCCCTACTCTGGACTCATTCAAGAAATGTTTGGATGCTTATCTTGCTGGGATCCTTTGACCCCAGTTGACTTCCTGCCCCTGGAGCAGGGGGCTGGACTTGATGATCTCCTGAGATCCCTTCCAGCCCTAATGTCTATGAAATCTATGAAATCCTGCAGCTTAACCATCTTCATAGAGGGATAAACCACCATGGGTAAGAGCGGCCACATGAGCAGTTACCTCAGAGCAGCTAACGTGCATAAAGCACCACTCTTCTTAGTCCCATGGTAACATTTTCACGTGCTGATGCCTTTAGCCTGTTCCAGGACTTCTACAGATGGTTCTGCTTAGGTCCAGGAGCACAATCCTGCATCAAGGAGGACTTTTGCTTGGTGCTTTAAAGTGAAACAAAACTAAGCTTGAACAGGGATTTCTGCAGTCAATACAACAATATGATTGGTCTTTAGCAGGTCAGCCACAGGGTAAGTGGTCTGTCTGGAGAAGGTAATGAGGAATTTAACTCATTATGCCAAACATATGGATTGCGGCTTCTCAACATGTGTTGAACTGCAGGTCAGGCACAAATAATGTTTCAGCCCTCTGGTGAAGTGCCCCCCTCAAGTAATGACAAGCCAGGCAGATGGATGGAAATACATATATTTCCACATATAGACTGGCTAACAAAAAGGTCATAAAGCCATACATTAGCAACTCAAAGCATGAAGTTGGTTGTGAACAATCCCTAGAGGGTAGGTTTCTTAAAACTCCATTAAATTAGGTTGGCAGCTTATTGAAGATGCAACAGTGCTCCTACCTCTTGTGAAAACTTGATGGAAACTGCATGCATGTTTCTTGTATCCACAAAGGGGAACAAAGGGCTAAAAAATGATGTTGATGTCCTAGTTAAAGGAGACTACTTTAACCAAAAGCTAATGCATAAATCTAGTTTCAGACATGGAATCATAGGATGATCTGGCCTTGAGGAGGTTTTGGGCGCCATCTTTCTTCTGACAGGTTCCGCCCACCTTCTCGGCTGTGGGGAATGAGTATAATGCTCAGGTGACAAAGTATGCAAGTCAAAACCAGACCAGCTAGAAAATTTGAGGTATTTTCCCTAACCCTTCAGGGGAGAGCCTCAAAGGGGCGGGAGAGAGGTTCCATACATAGAGAGACTCTGGGCACATCTACACATTCATTAATGTGCCTTTTCTAATGCACATTAAATTTAGTACCTTCACTGTAAGATACTGGAAAAAGGTGCATTAGACTATTTTGAAGAGCATTAGCAAAAGTGCATGGGTTTTTGTGATGATTTAATGTGCACTAACATAGGCTAATGCACATTAAAGTGCATGTGTAGATGTGCCCTCTGTTTAGTCTGCAAGCAGAGGCCTAGCATGTGTAACCGCACAGGAGCCAGGAGCCAGCCTGCAAGGCTGGAGCATGGGGAGAAAGCCTACTATGAAAAAACCTCCATGGAGAACCTTGCTGCAATGGCTGAGAGTCAGATAGGAAGGCTGTGTCGAATATCGGTATTGTTTTAAATTGTGTGTTGATGACCCAGACTCCTGGAAGGACAGAAAACTTTTTCAGTGTGGAAAATATGAACTGGGGAAGGAGGGAAACTGAGGGAGCAGAAGACAGGAATCTGGAGCAGGTAAATGTGCTACATATGGAAGTTCTTTGTTGAGTAGTTCTTGGTGGAATACCATCAAGGACCCTCCGCAGAGGACACTAGTCCTTTTTTCACAATCAGATCCACAACTCCAAAGTCTGACTATCAGGCGAGACAAGGAAATGAGATCTGTATTCTTGCCTCAGACACTTATAGCCTATGGAAAACATCAATAAATATCTGACTTGAGAATCCAACATGTCTTTCTTTTGTGACAATTTTCTGAACAACCTTTGCAGACTTATGTTCGATCAACATCACTGTAAGGATGTTCTGTGCATGCATATCTCCGCTCCTTAGCTACTGGAAAGACAGTTCATTTGTCAGAGGAAAAGAAAAGTATATAATGGATGGAAACACGTTGCATCTTACCCAGGGATTCCACCTGACTCAAGCTTGTTGGCAATATCCACATCCCATGACCAGACATCAAATTGCCACTTCCGTAGGCCCAAAACGCCACACAGCACGGATCCAGAATGGATTCCTATACGCATGTCAATGTCATGCTTTGTTCTTGACCTAACATACCTGTGTGACAAAAATGTTAATAGACACAGAGTTCGGAGATATGCTCCTGCCATCAACTTTAGCGAAAGCTGAAACTATGATCCATCACATTTTCACCCCTCAGTATTGACTTGTCTTCCAGGCCTTGCCAGATAGTTAGGCAGCTGCAGAATTAACTGTGTCAGGGATTTACATATGTTTAGAGAAAAGAAAGCTGTAAAATACAACACCAATTTGGTGTGAAGGGATACTCAATAGGTTTGTACAATTAAGAGATAACAGTTGTGGGGTGACAGTACACATGCAGTCATAGAATAGCTCTGAAAGCAGGATTTTTACAAAGGCATTTAATGCATGCACAGTTCAATGGTACACACATTATTCCCATTATACAGAAATACAAAAAGAGAGAGAAACAGAAATGCTTGAATGGATACATTGAGGTCTTTTGTATAAAACCGTAACAGAACATTTAACACTAAGAGAAACTATCACAGCTAAATTATACAGAGGTCCCAATTCTAACTTCTTATTATAAGCCACTTACAGCTTTGTAAAACTCTCAGGTTTCTGGCTGAAATTTTCCAGGATTGGTGTTTGCCCAAATGGGAATTCATTTTGGACAGGTTGGAAAGAGATGGCTCATCCCTTTTTGAGTATGATGCATTTTTACAAATGATATAATTTTCCCATGGTAAAACCATTTTTTGAATCTCTCTCAGGGAAACTCTGTTTGCACCAAAATTAGCTGAGATTGCATGAATGCAATTTGACATTAGAGGGCATTTCTGCATTCTATGTTAGACAATAATTGGACAAAATACAGAAATGATCTTGAAAGCATGGCACAAAACCCAACTGAGTACTCCAGTCACTCCCACCCTGTGATCAGCATTTCCTATTGGCTCACCCCAAGCATCTGGACTGTAGGTCTCACTCTCTTAAAGTGCCCTAATTTCCCATTAAGGATATTGGGAATCTAGGCACTGAACTGCATTTTTCTGATTTAGTCTCCTGAAGCCAGATGCCTAATGCTTACGTCTGCTCGAGCCTAAACTGGGAGCACCTATGTGGCCAAACTAGATTTTGCCCAAAGTGTCTTCCCTAAGTTCACAATCACCAAGGTTTGAAAGAGAGGTGTTTGCTTCTGCAGACCAGCTATGGTGCATGCTATGGTGCAGCTATGGTGTAGCTATGGTGCAGCTATCATTTCATGGGACACATATACTGTATCCAACTTCTTAAATCTCCATGCACTATCACTAGGATGTTTGCCATCCAGGAGAGATTGTGTACACACAACCCGTTACAAGAATGCTACGTTTGCTTAGTTAAGCACTTACCAACAAGGAAATGACAGGGTTAGGGCTGCACAACAGTCCTTAGCTGTGACCTTTTGTGCCTGGTAAAACTCATCTCACAAGGATCACCTCCTACCTAGTTAATGCTACTAGGTGCCTTGGTTAACAGTCCCAGAAAGAATACTTAAGCGCTGGGTCTGGTTTAACCTGTAGGTCTGTTGGAGTAAACAGAGCTACTCTACGTTGAGATAGGCCCTTCCTTTCAAATAAATCCAAAAGCACTTTGTATGGCAAGAGATGGTGGATACTAAATCACCATTCCAGCCCTAGAAAGGGTCCTTCCGAACCAGAGTCAAGACACTTCGGCAGGGTAAGGTGCGAAGCTCATAACTAAGTTGCCTGTCCCATGTCTCCTATGAAGATACATAGAATTTTGTAGCCTCCAGAGCTCTCAGTCTAACACCATTCATTTGCTTTGGAAAATCACCACTAGAGTCAGCACTAATTAGTAGCCCTGTTGGCAATCTCAGGGGGAATAAAGTGCACTTCATTACTGTCAGTCTGCTCTAAGTCTGCTCTTTCTCTACAGTTGTCCAAGCCCTGCTGCCACCGAAGTCTGTGGAAATAGTGTGCCACCCAGCAAGAGCACAGGCAAAGATCAAAGAGCGTGCTGTCGTGTTTCTTCAGGTGCCCACCATGCCTCAGGTGCCTTAACCGGGACTTTGGCAGACTAGGTCTACAGGAGATCAGGAAAATTGCTGATTGAGTCCCTTCAGTGCTTGGCCTTTGACGGCTGCCAACAAGGGCATCAATTCAATGTGTTAAAAAGAGGAAATGGAAAGCAATGCTGTCAAATTGTGAGGAATCACAGGAAAAGCAATTCACCTTTACTGTCCTCGCCTGAATGTTTTGAAATCTTAGAAAAATGATGTATGTAATATGTGCCTATGCAGCTGTTACCCTGCTAGGGCAGTGCTTACTCATCAGATCAGCAGGTCTCAATGACCTTGGCAGGAAAAGTGATCAGACATTTGCACATTGGTAAAACCTATTTTTTTTGGAATAATTCTTCCATAATGTGTCAAGCACAAATAGGTTTCCTTACGAGCAACAAGCATGCCTGGCTTTTTGTCTCTATCTTTTTTGCATTCAAACCCACCTATTACGGGCACTTCAAATGAACTGCTCTTCCCTCTTGAGGTACTTACTACCTCTTGGGACTGATGGCCTTCTGAATCCTGCTCTGAACAGCATATTTTTTTGTTTCAATTGCATTTTTAGCATTTCCTCTTCGTGGAGAACAAAGTGAAACAAAGCAAAAAACTGTTTTTCTCTAACAGGGGTTGACTGGGAACTCCAGGAGTTGATTGAGAAACTTCAGCATGTCACAGTTTAAAGCCTGGCTTCCAGCCTTTCAAAGATCAGTGTGAAACATCTTTATCTATCCGTGTAGGTATTTCTATAGGCCACCTCATCATAGTACCTCAGGATCATCCAAATATTTGAAATAAAGGAAGAGGTAATGCTCTGCCTGCATGAAAATGCCACAGCTTAGCAGGCTAGATAAGGAAATCCCCAGTTAGAATAGAATTGCCATAGCAATTTCTACCCTATCTCCTTTCCAGCCTCCATGGCTAGGAAAAAGGAAATTTGGCTTGGATGTTGCTATAACCTGACAATCTCTTACTGTCAGAACAGTCCTTGGGGGCTATAGCCAAAATGGATGGTCTTAAGGCCACTACCCTCCCAACCTCCTGAGCTGTCCTAATCACAGCTTTGCTGCAGCTCCAAATCTGAGCTGGCATCAACTGTACATGGTTGAGTTGCTCTCGATTCTGACCCAACTGTACATGGTTGCTGCTCTCTTAGGCTGCAAACAAATGTCACATCTATCCCCAGAAAAAAAACATTTTATCCCAGGACAAAATGTCTTGGCTCACATGTCCATGTCTATTGTCCTGGGATAAATCCCCAAAAGATTTGGCAGGATAAGATGCACTACCAATTTATCCAGGGACATTGCAAAGTGTGGAATTGCATCGAGTCAATGGCAGAGAAGTGGCAGTGCGTTCAGCCACTCACTGAACCCTGATTGGAAGGACGATGTATATACATACTTATCCCTGGACATCTATCTTTAAGGAAAAACAGAGGCGCAACTTGTCCTGAGACAAATGCAATGTCTGTTCCTAGTCTCAGGCTGAGGAATCAACCACAGCTGTGTGTGATGTTAACCACATCAATCCCTTGCATGTTACCAGTCACAGAAACTGGTGTTAACTGTGCTTGCCCAACAGGTAGCTAAGCTTGTGCACACTTGACTTTGATTTAAAGAAAAATAGTTTTATTGGGCTTTTTTTGGAGCTGTGTGTGAGTGCAAAGAGTAGCATTTTAGGATAAGGTAACTTGGGGAGAGGTCTTGCGTATTTAATTCCACACTCGGTGGGTTCTGCGGTCATTCCCCTTTTCTACCAGTGAGGTTCATAGTTCAGGACCTGCTCCAGTGAAAGATCTGTCGCCTGTACTCATGAGTCTGCCCTAATGCTCAGCAGTTTTAGCTACAGAACAAAGCCTGATTGTGGGTCAGGAACACAGAGGGGTGTAACCCCTCCATAAGTCTGACACCTATTTTTTTATTTTATTGCACCATTTTACTGTGATTTCAATGGAAGTTTGCAGTACAGTTCACCCCAACCATTCGGCAAGCTTGAATCAGGCCACTGAGAAATCATGAGATTGGCTTCAGATAATAAAAATAAAATAAATGTGGGGCTCTCTATATATACCTCTTGGTTTTCTGAACCTTCAGCTCCCTGCAGTCATGAGGAACAGAAATGTACTTAAAAAAGAAGACACCTGGAGCTTATGACAGGATCCCTGCAGCTGAGATGAAACCAAACTCCATCCCCCCTCTCCCAGCATTGTGAGATTCACAATTAAACTGTGAGAATAGGCAACACTGCAATTTGCAATGTACTGTCAGGAACTGCTCTACACATATGATAAAAATATTATCAAATTCAATTCTATAGCCATCAAAGGAATTGCCACTTCTGCCCACATGACCACTTTCCCTGCCTGCCTTTTTCTTTTGTTCATACCAAGATAATTATTTCTGGCTTTATGTCTGCTTTCCTTATCTTGATATATAAAAATAATTGGATGCAGAGGAGTAATTGAGAAGAAAGCTTTTCATTAAAAAAATGTACACACTGAAAAGACCTTAATTTTTATAAAATGGCACAATCGGTTCAATATATATGAAATAATGTAAATTAGAGTCTCATCTTCATGCACAGCTTATGCATACAACCCTCCTTGCAGTAAGTAATAAAAAATGACTATGCAGCTGAGATGATATTTCCCTTTGTTTTGCTAAGGTCAGCTGGATTGCTGTATTTCCTTTGGCATAAAAATATTGGGATAGCCTGACAAAGTATTTATTTTACAGGGAGGTTTAAAGAAGGGGGCTGTAATGACTTTGCCAGTGTTGATTGTGTGTCTTTTTAAAAAGCCAAAGAACGCAGGACTGCTTTCAACCCTTCCTTCCCAAACCTGTGAACAATGAGGGGGCGAGGGGGTAAGGATCTCAGAGGTGCTGATGCATGTACAAGACCCTAGCTGACAGGCAAGAATGAGGGTGATCTGAGCATTAAGGAAAATTACTGGAGGGGAAAGAGGACACTTGCACGTGGGAGGTGACTTTTTACATGATGAGCT